ATTTATATTTATTTATATTTATATATATTTGTGTATTTAAACCCTAATTGATTCGCGTCGTTGTCGCAAAAGCAAGCTTGTTCCATGACATGCTAGCGGTTTTTCTGCAAATAGTGACTGCTTAGCTGTTTTTTCTGCAACTGGTGACTGCTTAGCAGCTTTTCCGCAAACCGTCAATACGGGTTTTCTGCAAACGGTGACTGCTAATCGGTGTTTTCGCAAAGTTAGGGTTTCGGCCTAAAGTTCGGGTATAAGGTTGCGGCCTAAATTTCGCGTATAGGGTTTCGGCCTGAATTTCGCGCATACGGTTTCGGACTAAATTTCGCGTGTCGGGTTGCTGCCTGAATTTCGGGTGCGCCTAAACCTCCCTTAACCCTAAGCTCCATTGAAGGGAACCCACATCTTCCCAGCCTCGTTCGGGCAGTGGAAGCTGCGGTTCACGTCCTCCAGCTCCACCATTAGCCCGGACCTGAGTCTTTTTAGTGTTTCTTTTCACAGTTGGGTTTGAGGTTTAGGGTTTAGGGATTTAGGGTTTCAGGGCTCAGGGTTTAGGGGCTTAGGGATTTAAGGGTTTTAGGGCCTAGGGTCTAGGGGCTTAGGGATTTAAGGGTTTTAGGGTTGAGGGTTTCGGGGCTTCGGGGTTTAGGGGGTTAGGGCTTGGGGTTTAGGAGTTTGGGGCTTTAGGGCCCAGGATTTAGGGGTTTGGGGTTTTAGGGTTTAGGCTGGGCATCCTGATGCTGCCTTCTGGTGCCTGCTGTTGAAGACTGCTCCGAAAACGAATGTGTTAGATGAAGTTTCGTTCAGAGCTGCCCAAGAAATTGACCTGTTCTCGGTCGCGACATCTTATCTTCCCCCTTGCATGAAAGGCCACAGAGAGGAAAGCCTTCTTCACTGTGAAATGAAGGATTACAGCGAGGAGAGTCATGTGCTTCGAGTTCGTGCTTATTTGGTGGAGTACAGCACGGACAAAAACGTACCGGACGTACGTTATGTACGTCCCTAATTGAACGACAATACCTTACGCTTGCCTTGAAACAAAGGGTTACGTTCAGTGAAAGACTGCCAGAGTAGGCTCGTGCACCGGAAACAGAACATGAAAACGGCCTTTCAGTAAGCAGCACTTCGATGAAGGGATTCCATTCCTGTGCCTTGCTGCCCTACAGGGGTTCAGGGCTTCGGATGTCGAGTTCAGGCTATAGGGTTTACAACTGCAGTCGGCCTGCATGATGATCTTTTGGCGTGCAACTACGATGGTCCCCTTCAGATTCCTTCTTCTCATAACCTACTCTTCAAAGAGACATGCAAGAAGAGCGTCCGAAACCCTAAACCCCACTTCAGAATTACGGCCACATTCCCCAACAGCGATTTCCTGAAGCCCCAAGACTGAGCATCCTCTAACCTAACAGACCACCGATCTGCAGAGTGTGGTCGGTTGGCGATTTAGGGTTTAGGGTTTAGGGTGTAAGGTTTTAGGGTGTAGGGTTTACGGTTTAGGGTTTAGGGTGTAGCGTTGTAGGGTTTTTTTTAAAGTGCAATGGCCCCTTTCACTCAGCATCCACGCCTCGGTCTAGAAGCTTACCTGTAGCAGCTATGCACTCCAAAGATGCGAGACTCTGCACTTACAGCAGGACTCGCACAGCGCTTGAAATACGACCCCGGACCACAAAGCAAAAGTGGCAGAAGTCAGAGGCTCAAAGGGCAGCCACCAGTACACGAGGGCAACCCAGGAACACTCAGGCATCCTGGCTGCGACTACGTTCCCTAGGCTCCTGCATGCTCACTTGACCACTCCGACGTCGCATTCCAGACTCACGCGACCCGCCAACACCAGCAGCTCCAGGTCCCGACGAGGAAGCAGGCAAAGAGGATCTCGGCAATGACGGCGAGCTTGCCCCACGATTCTCCAGGCCAGGGCGAACACGTTGAGCACGAGCTCGCCTTCGACCTTCCTCCAAGCGAAGCGGCATGCACCGGAAGGCGTCGGCTCCAGGAGGGACAGGTACACGCCGCGTGGAGTTGAGCTGGACGAGGTACAAGTCCGTGTCCGTGTCCACACCACCCATTCCACCCTCAGTAGCGTCTTCTGCCGGCCCCAGACTCTCCACATGCCTCTGCCAGGCCCGACGCCGAAGTCCTGCCACTACCGCCGGAGCCAATCCGGGCAGCTCATCCCGCACTGCCTGATGCGAGGCAGGGAACCCCGGCTGCACCAAGACCATCGGCGCTTGAGTTGACTGTCCCCGTCCTCGAGGATGAGGGGTTCGACCCAAACGAGGCTTCCCGTGCGACACTTCTCCATATTTGGGCGTCCATGGTGGGCCCGTTGAGGATCTCCGTCCCGGGCGTGGTGGAAAGCCAAGGGAGCAACTCCTCCAGGGCGGCGTGTAGTAGCCTCTGGTGATGTAGTAGTGCACGTGCTCGGCTCAGTAGACGTTGTAGGACATCCAACACGCCTGCAGCCGAAGCAACCTGTAGCTCTCTCGTGACTGTGTCGCGAACTACATCGTCGGGCCACGTGGTTAAGCTTTCAGTGGACGTCGTAGTCGTCGAGGTGGAGGACGGCGAGGGCAACGGAGCAAGCACAAGCTCACCCCCACTTCCTGTTTGTTGATCTGCATCGAGGAAATCATCCCTATGCGAAGAGGAACACAATGTGGGTGCCGAAGACGAGGTGTTAGTGGAGGCCGGGGGTGTAGTCGAGGAGGTCCACGTCCACATCGACATGGAAGAGCTCATCCAGGAGGTCCCCGCAGTAGAAGAGGTAGTCGAGGAAGTCCACACCATCATCAACATTGAAGAGCCTCGCCCAGAAGTCCACACTGTGCTAGAGGTAGTAGACGAAACATGCCCAGAAGTCGTGGAGCCCAAGCCAGAGAGCCACGTTGCTGAAGATGTAGTAGAGCTCGACGAGGAAGTCCACGCTGACGTTGAGGTAGTCGACGAACTGCTCGGAGACGTAGTGATGCTCGTGATGGAAGGCCAGGACGAGGGAGTGTCGGCAAATGTGTTGGCACTCCCAGACGAAATCGTGGAGCCCAAGTCAGAGAGCCACGTTGCTGAAGATGTACTAGAGCTCAACGAGGAAGTCCACACTGACGTCGAGGTTGTCGACGAACTGCCCGGAGTCGTAGTGATGCTCGTGAGGGGAGGCCAGGACGAGGGAGTGTCGGCAAACGTGTTGGCACTCCCCGACGTTGTCGTGGATGTCGTTGTTTCCACTGGCTCCCTCCATATGCCTAGAAGCTCCCCTGCTAGTGCTCTCTGCAGGGAGGATGTCTCGGGTGTAGCCGTGGCGGACGCTTGTTCTTCTTGTTGCCCCGGATGGTCAACTCCAGCCGCTGCATCTGCATCCGCTGTTCGCCCTCTCGATCTCGAACGGCTTCTTGCCAAGCTCAGATCACACTGAGAAGACGAGGAGGACGCCGCTTCGCCATCGTGCTCATCTTCGGCAGCCGGGGAGGCAGGCACAGCTTGGTCCGGGGAGAACCCTGTGTTGGGCCCTTCCTCGCGAGGTTGAAGAGGCACGTTGAGGTGGTGAGAGAGCATCTCTTCAAACACCGATCCATAGTTCCTCGCCCTCTGGAAGTGCCTGAGCTGGTCTACTTCGCGAAGAGGAGTCCGAATGACGGGCCAGGTTCCACGCGGTCTCAACCTCCTGAGGAGGATGTCGAGTATGCACTGTAACGCCACCATGCCCTCATCAGCACGTCGTACCAGGCGGGCCAGCCCCCATCTTGCCTCCGGGCCCAACTCCGTCGCTGCAAAGTCGTCAAGTTGTTGCAGCAGGGCATCAATTCTTTCCACCACCGGCCCTTGCACCCCGTTTTCCTGTAGCATTCGTCGCTCAGCACCCGTGAGGTGCATCAGCCAACTATGCTCTTCATCAATGGGCTGGACAACGGGGAAGAAGGCCTGGTTAGGAAGAAATTCATCCCCCACCGGCAGCGTGGTCGTAGACGAAGAAGAGGGCTGCTGCCATCCCCATCCGTCCCACCAAGAAGAACGCCAGCCCCACCACGAGTCCTCGGCACCCCATTGGCCGGACCACCGGTCCGGGTCGGTCACTCCGAGGGGTCGTTGTTGGCAGGCGGACCTTGTGTCAAGTCAACCCTCTGCTCAAGGACGGTGCTCGTTCCCTGGCCTGTACTGCAAGTGCCGGTGTCACCCGCGGTGTGAATAGAGCCCGAAGTGGAGTCAACCTGCTGCTCAGGGGTGGTGTTTGCATCCTGGCCACGGCTGTTCTCCTGGTTGTCGAGCTTCTGCACGATGCCCTGTGCCGCCTCGCGGTCGCGCTTCTCCTCAATGTAGCGGTTGAGCCACGCAGGCTTCCACGTACCTTCGTGATAAGCCGCGACTCTGTCTGCACGGCGCTGGGTTCTGCGCGGACCATTGCCTCCACGATGTGCTCGTTGTTCTGCCGCCGTCCTCGCCCTGGGGACCCACGCCCCATGTCTGAAAAAACCCCACAGCAGTGCTAGGCTGGGACTCCGAGGAGGAAGAGGTCGAGGAGCATTCCGTCCCAGTTGCACATGTCGTTGTGGCATCACTTCCCATTGGAGCTTCCTCCCTTGCTGCTTGCCCAGGTCGTAGAAGATCTGTCGTAGAGCGAGACCTTCACGTGGTCACTGGAGGGGTTTTCCAGTTCACTTTTCTCCCGTCCCCTGTTGCGGATGCTGCCGTTGGGGTAGTGCCAGCGATCAACTCCTGGGCGGATGCTGTCTCCCCTCTGAGTGATGCCAGCAGCCGATTCATTCACTGCATAGAAGGCATCGCTCGTCCGTGGTCTGCTCTTTGGTGTGGCAAGGGAGCCTGGGTCTCGTCCATGTGCAGGGGGTAGTTCACCAAGATCATCTCGTGGGCGGCCAGAAGAGGGCGGCGATCAAGTACCATCATCCACCAGTCGTTCGTCTGGTCGTTGCAGGTATTGTTGCTGGTGCCCCGGTTCGCCTCGTTATCATCCTCGTTCGTCGGGACGGGCACGGTTACCTCACAGGGAAGGGGAAGGTCCTCAGGGATCGGCACCAGATACGCCCCAGATGTAGTGGTAGTGTCATTCCCAAAGGCGGCCTGGATTTCGTCCTCCTGTAGCCCCATGGAGATCTCCTCGTCCAGGCTGATGCTCGCGGGGGTGTCGGATGTCCTCGATCTCGCCCCCCACAGGTGTGTTGTATTCCCAGGGTCGGACGAGGAAGTCGCCCCTGTACAATCAGCAGATAAACTGCGGCCCGTCCACGAAGAGCTGGATGTAGGCGAATGTGACCACGACCACGAGCTGGAGGACCATTGCTGTTGTCCTTCTCCGCCCCAGGAAGAGCTCGATGAGGACGAAGGCCAAGAAGTTTCCGAGTTCTCCGCAGCGTCTTGCCGTTGCCCAGCCTCTTGTAGTTGCGTAGTCGCCATACTTGTAGAGGAGGACGAAGGAGCCTCACCCGAGGGAGCCGGCTGCGGCTGCGCGGTCACGAGGAGCGGGGTCGGCACGGCCGTAAGCTCCGGCACCTCGTCATCGTCCCAGCCTGCCGGGGCTCCTGTAGTCCACGTATCGGCCCACACCTCCGCAGACCTCGCCGCAATCTCCTCATCGGTCCAGGGTGGGTGACAACCGCCAATGCCATTTCCCCTTGCGTCTCGTCCACAACCAGGAGCATCGCCATCCATCCCACCGAGCAGAAAGAGCACCACGACAAGTCCCAGCGCACAGAGCCGGCCGCAAGGCACCGTGGACGGGCGCCATGGCGAAGGAGAGGAGGGAGCACAGCAAGTTTTCTCAATCACCTCGAGCTCGAGCCGACAATATGGAAGATGTCACGCCATGACGGACAGTAAGTTCGGGATGATGCAAAATCCTGACGTGCAGCAGGCGGTGCGCAGAGACACTGCAGGACTGAGCGACAAGAGCTTCCCACAACTGCCACAGTGGAGTCCAAAGCAATTCTTGTAATTCATGAGAGTGGAAATCATGTACGGAAAGATGTGATCAGATCCATGTCAAAGAAATGTTTAGGGTGTAGGGTTTACGGTTTAGGGTTTAGGATGCCTTAAAACCCTAAACCCTAAACCCAAAATCCTAAACGAACTCAGACAGCGCACTCCATCTTCAGCTCACTGGCCAGGCACTTGAAAGCCCCTTCCGGGCACTGACTGCACGGCCTGGAGACGAAACAGTCTGAAGCCATGGGAAGAAACATCACCTACTAGACTCTAAACCTCTCTAAACTCTAAACCCTAAAACCCTAAACTACCTAAACTCTAAACCCTGAACCCTGAACCCTGAATCTCTAAATCCCTAAACCCCTAAACCCTAAACCCTAAATCCCCAAATCCCTAAATCCCTAAATCCCTGATGCCCTCAACCCCTAAACTAGACCTGAAGCCCTAAACCCTGGACTGCTGGAAGTGGACTTGAAAGCCACTTGGGAGAGGGAGGCTTCTACGATGAAAGTTGCGTCCTCCGTGGCTGTAGACTTGTTGTAAAACCCAGGGGTTTAGGGTTGTTTAGGGTT